CAGCGCCTCTGAGAGCCCAGCGCCTCTGAGAGCATGTGTGTGAGTTGATGTGTGAGTTGTTGTGTGTGACTTGATGTGTCTGAGTTGATGTGTGTGAGTGTTGTGTGTGAGTTGTTGTGTGTGAGTTGTTGTGTGTGACGTGTTGTGTGTGAGTTGTTGTGTGTGAGTTGATGTGTGAGTTGATGTGTTGAGAGCAGTGTGAGTTGTTGTGTGTGAGTCGTTGTGTGTGACTTGATGTGTGTGAGTTGATGTGTTGATGTGTGTGTGTGTGTGAGTTGTTGTGTGTGACTTGATGTGTGTGAGTTGTTGAGTTGATGTGTGTGAGTTGATGTGTGAGGAGGAGGAGGCAGAGGAGGAGAAGGCGGGATGGCGCCCCAAAAACAAGAACCCCACACAAAGATGTGGGGAACATTGATTGTTTATTATGTCAATGCAACAAAGCAACAAACAAACAATATATATATCTTTTTGGTTGCCTTGTCATGGTTCTTGTTTCTTGGACAAGATGTCAGCCAGAACCAAATTCATACAGCAAGTAAATCTGTGTTATTTGGATTGTTTTTGCCTATGAAAAAAAAGACATCAAAGACATTGAAGCATAGATGGACGAATAGAAAAAAAATCGTAACATGTAAATTCTATTGGAACAATAGAAAGGTTCTTTGGGATCAAGGCAAAGTTGCTGAGGGGAGAGTGTTGAAACTGAAGTCTGCATATCTGACATCAATCCTTTCAAGGTTAAAAACCAAGCAGGTTTGACCCATATTGAGAACAACTACCAGGTAATTATTGATGTTGAACAAAGAAGAGTCAAACTAATAATGCTTATCATTGATTGTGCAATTTTACACATTGACATTGCACATAAACATTTGGTACAGGAAGAAAGGCAAATATGCGTTTCGCCTAGGTCTCAGAGCATTTTTTTAAAAATTTGCGTGGTATTTACAGTGTTTTAGATAGGTTTTGAGCTAGTGAGTGCTCTCCCAAACACACCCGCTGTCTTTTTTTTGGGGGTATTTTGCATTTCGGGCCTGATTTCTCCCCAGCCCGAGGGAAGCGATGATGATGAAGCTTCACAAACTCCAAACGGAGTTCAAAACTTTGGAGGACCAAGGCGCCTCCGGCATTGGTTTCTCCACAGGATAGGCCGGTACTGCCTTGGCAGGCACAGCCTTGCAAGCTATGGAAGACGCATTGGATGGCGTCAAAGCCATTCTAAAGATTGCCAAGGCAGGACATGAACTAGGAGCATTCATTCCTCCCTGGAGGAGCAGGACCCATCGCTAGTAGGTTGGAGGCCATCGCTCTTAGGTTGGAGGCCATTTCTACTAGGGTGGAGGCCATCGCTAGTACGTTGGAGGCCATCACTGAGCCTTTTTGTGAAACTGCTGGCGTGGACTTCCAGGGCCCCTGTCATGAGACCCCCCGTGGGCACTGTGATTTGCAACGATTGTAGTGAGCAGGGTCTATAGGTCCTTGGGTGAAGACTGGTCGCCAAACAGGCAAGCTGCTCAATGCCTTAACACCCTTGTGTGTGCTTTTATCAACATGCTCTGGCCAAGCCAAAAGGGTACAAGAGGCAAGAGACCTTTGCCAGGCTGAGCGTGATGCTTCCCCGAGAAACAAAGCATCATTGCAGGAGCCGCGAGTGAAATTGTTCTTCAGAATGCTAAGACCACTCACCTCAGTAGTAATTGAGCAGTACGACAAACTTTCGACCTTCTTTGCGTTGCAGAGGTTGTTCTATGCAATTTGACCCGTGAGACTACACAGAATGTACTGAACATACAATATATGAAAGACAATGAGTAATTATGTCAGATGTTTTTTCCAACTTCGGTGTTTTGTGACTTCAAGCTAGCCAAAGCAACTCCGCCATCATATTCCTAGCTACCATCACCGTATGACTTTGCCTATCATGAGTCAAGAGTCGTGAATTGCAGACGTTAGCGCTCCTTGCCCACCACTTCAGCCCACATCTGCTCAGGAAGTGAGGCCCTTTGCCTCACCCCGCCAGCATCACTTGCGCAGCAAGAATGATGTACTCTGTGTGTAACAACCATTTCAGCAACAACCATTTCATTGTCGGAACAGTTCATCTTCGCAGCATCCTCAAGAGATAAAATCCAATTTAGTAAAGAAACCTCACTTACTCCCAGGTTAAATCTTCTAAACAGCTAGAAACCAAATGAGTAGTGCGAGCGCTTCCTTGAAAAAGCGCGAGCTATCCTGCGTCCATATGTAGTAGCTTAAGTAGCTAGTAGCGAACTTCTCCCTTACTCAATTGTATAAGTAGGCGCCTACTTGATTATGTAGGGAGAGGAGGAGGTCGGCAAAAAAAGAACGAAACTCCCAACCTCCCACTTGGACTTGGAGTCAACACAAATCTTCACTGTTCCCCTTCATCCTTGCTCCCTCAAAGCGGCACAGGCAAAGCGCCAAGAGACCTGGAAAGCCGTACTGGCCGATTTGAAGCCAGTCAATGGCTCAAGACGCCAGCAGGTTTGTTGGAAGCTTCGGGACAAACTGCTACATATTCAATTGGCCCAATGTCATGATGGAATCGATGTTCAAATTGGCAGATTTAGAATTATATGGGGCCAACCCATTGTGTTTGTGACTCGTGTTGAGCTGGCTCACCTTTCACTATTTTGGGGGCACGGCGATGGAGTGACTGGGCATGTATGCAGAGAAGACACTAAGGTGCCGGAAGATGAACATGCTCCAAAGGAAGAAGAACTTATGGAGCCCGGGCAGCTTGATAAGGCCTGCAAGACTGTAAGATCGAAAGCAGTCTCGTTGGAGTTGGACCAGGAGTACCTGCTGTTGTTTCTCACCTGACCATGCCTAGACCATGTAGACCATCTCATGCTGGCCTTCCAAGGCTTGGCTTGAAGGTACAAGCTTGTGTCCAAGCATCACTGACGCTGGCCTTCTATTTGCGAGTGACTTTCCAACTAGGGACCTGTCACCATAATTGATTGGACCACGAAGCAAAGGCAACTAGATGAGTAGGCACTTGATTCAGTGATGCTCTTGCCTTTGGTTTGGCTTTAAGTGTTGCTTCTTCTGCCTAAAGTGGGACACGCAGATGACCGCCCCTGGCAGACCTCTCAGACGGGCTCCTTTGCAGATGTGCCTTGGCTTCCTGTGCAGGGTGATTCTTGCCATAACAACGCAAAAAGAGACATTCAGAAGTGATAAAAACTGTAGGGGTGCGTTGTACCTCATGGTTGCCAACACCACTTTGCAAGACCTGTGGTTGGCAATTGTGTTTGTTCCAAGAGAAGGTACTAAAGGGTAAGAACCCGGTTGGTTGAATCAAGAAAAGGCTTCAGAACAGCCGCTACCTTCAAGATGTTTTTTTGCTGTTACGCGATACGTATTTTTTCAACTTTCAAGATCAGTTGAAGTCGGTGTGCAGCTTCTTGTGTTCTACTTACCTACTCGTGCCCACTCCCCTGAGCCTGCATGCAGACTGGCGAGTTCTTTGCAGGACTTATCTGACTTATCCAAGTCGGGGATGTTGATGAGGCAGCTCTTGCAGGCTCGCAAAGCGAGCAGAGCCACCTCTGTGATAACATGGTAAAGGCAGGTTAAACTGTTGAATCTGCTAAGCGCTGAACACTCAACCTCATCAGTGAACATTTTTGAGCTTTTGTTTGCTAGATTTTTGCGGTGGCTGTGATGCTTTTATTGGTGGTAGCCAGCTACATTCGCCGTCTTTGTTCCTTTTCAAGCGGTGAGAAAGCTTGTTGCCTGAAAACAGGTCTCCAGAGCAAATGTCAAAGGAATACGCTTTGTTGATACAGGTTCGCTCAAAATTGGAACCTTGCGCAATTGCCTCATCCTGAGGCTTTTGCACAACACTGCCATAGCTAAAGGGCCAGAGAGGGCAGGCCCATGGCCAATTTGACCTGACGGAGGTTAATCCCAACCTAGGCAGCAGCCCAGCGACCATAGCTGAGCCATCACATTTGAGTTGGCCGTCACCGCCGGACAGGTTGAGGAGGCGGAAGACAAGGGGTTGCCTGTGATGGTAGACAATTCAACCTTCGAGGCCTGTGATGGTGATGGAGACAACCAAGACCTTTGCCAACGCGGCAATCTGTGTTCTCTACAGGTTCTGATGCAACAGTTGCTCCTATAGCTGAGCTGCTACTGCTGGATAGTGTGATGTTTGACCAGTCTAGGGATGGGGGAATGCTGGTCGCGACCCACAAAGTCTTGCGACCGAATCGAAATTGGGTCAGGTGCCTTATTCAGAAAGATGGGCAGAGGAACTGGCGAAGATGATGGCTGGCAAGGACCAAACGTTGTACTTCGTCCAAACAAATGGCAGACAGGGCTCACCTGTCCCATTTGTCGCTGGCGGTCAGCCCGGAGAGCTGCCCTTCAGCCCTACGAGAGACGACTTCCCCCTCGTCGTGTCCAAGAAAGCTGAGGCCAGGCAGCACGTGAGCATCTCCATGAAACGCAGTCATTGCAGTACTCCCATGTGTGCATCCAAACGCATAGTAAGCACACTGCATTGATGATGGGGCCCTTATGTGAGCCGGAAGTAATCGACTGGAAGGTCTCCAGGAAGTAAGCTTGATGTGACTCAAGTTATGATACAGTACTAAAGTACATGGGTTCAGATGGGTGTAGATTCTAAAATTGCACCAGGATCAGCATCAAATTTGTTTGCCGGTCTTGGTTCACAAATCCTTCAAGGCCCCAGCGCCATGGTCAGCCTCCTCCACTGCCACCAGCCGGTCTATAGTGAGCAAACTGACGTCGAGATCCTCAGAGTTCAGTGACTCTGACATCTCCTGGGCTCCCATGGAATCAATTGGCCATGAGAGACGCCCCAGCGAGGCGACCTCGGCCCGCCAGGCCTCCCGCCAGGCCTCCCGCCAGGCCGTCACACAGCATTGGCCGCCAGAGCTCCCAGAGCTCCCCGAGATGCCACGGCACGCTGCATCACCAGAGCCAGAGCCGGCCATGGAGAGGCGGGTGCCGCGGGCGCCACTGGTCCGGAGGGAAAAGAAGCGCTGTCCGCTATGGCCGGCCAAGCGCCTGGAAAGAAGGCGGCGTGGGATGTGAAGGAGTCGACGCTTCAAGTTCTGTGGACATTGAATAAAACATGCTGGGCTTTCACGTGCAGTTTGAGTGTGTTTGCTCTCTGGCTGGACAGCCAGCTATATAATGCTATATATTATATATTTGATTATATGTATTTGTATACTTCCTGCAGCTGGGAATGTTTCAATATAACTTGCTACGAAGTGTGTGTGACTTGTTTCCTTACATCTCCCAAAGCAGTTGATCACCTGCACAGATCAACCAAAATGGTTTCTTCTTCAAAGACGCAGGTCCATTGCCTCCATCCATATGCACCGGGCTGGTGGTCGGTCGCTGGAGGCTGGATCAATGATGGAAGCCAAAGGATCAGATCCTCCCATAATGCCTATGAATGAGCCTTTGGAGTTCTGAAATCTGCCTCACTCAACTCACTGTCCAAACCTGTCCCCAGTGTAGGCTGTGCTCTCCTGGCGTGAGCGCCATGGACTCCGGGAGGATCACACCTTACCGCGCCTCACTGACCTGTGGCACCCGAGCAGCATTGAGCAACGTGGGAGCTTTGAGCTTTTCACGAGTGAGCGCTCATTCCCAAGAGGTGGAACACACTGGCCACGCCACGCACTCTATCGATCATAGTCATACAGTACCCATCCAGGATCCTGAAACGACGAGCACTGGCAAGCAGTTGTGGCCCCTTAAATACGGGACTTCTCCATGTTTGCTCAACACATTCATATGCACTGGAATATCAATATTGAAATGGAAGATTCTGGGCGTGTCAGTGTATCCGAAACAATTTTGCTAGCAAAGACGAGGAAAAGGAACTGGAGAGGACTCCATTATATAATTCTATTATGTTTCTGTCTTTCAGCAGCTTTGGGAACTACTGCACCACGGCTATGTCCAAGTCGCAAGATTTGTTGTGTGAAACACGCCATGGATCTTCATGGAATTTAGCCAACATTAGTGTCAGGAATTCGGAGACTAGAATTTCAAAATTCCACTAGCGTAACAATTCCATTGTCTATTTACAGTGTTTGTTTCTTGACATTTCGGCTTGCGTGGCAAGTCAGCGGTAGGCACTAACAAGGGGCAAGGCCAGGCAAGGGTCGCAAGGGTGTAGTGCAAGGCCAGGCTTCCAGCGGCTTATAAGAATCGCTTCTAGGCCAAGGAAGAATAAGGACAAATAAGAAATACAGTGAAACTCAAAGTGTTCCTTCCGTCCTTCAGGTCACAGTATGCGAAGATCCTTCCAGTTGATGCTCAGAAGCCCTGCACCTTGGCACAAGAGGAGCATGAAAGAATACGGCTAGGACCTGGTAGGAGTGAGATCTCCCAACGCCGAGCTCTTGGAGATTGCCAGCGCTCTATTTTTTGCGTTTTGGCGCCAGGTATATGCGTGAATTGCTTACAGTCGACGGCCACCTTTGACGCATCTCCTGATCAAAGCACTTTTTCGAGCCAACACGCAACTTGGCGGATCGGCAAGCTCGAAGAGCCTACAACTAAGCCTCATGATTCATCAGCTTTCAGCAGGCAGCAATCAGGAGTAGGTGCCTTCACTCCTAGCAATATTGTTTTCCACTCAAGTTCTGCTAGGTGGTCTGTCCCGATCATTCGTGCTTGTTTCCGCCTTTTCAGTTCGCCACGAACTCATTTTATAGGTATGAAAGGTTAGGCTGAAAGGTCTGGCTTCAGAATTTGGTTTTCGGTACTCGGCTCAGAACGTCCGGGTTAGACGTTTTGCGAAGTACGCAGGCAACCGCCAACTGGAGGATATTCTAAAGACTAAACAGAGAGTGACACAAATCAACTCTGAGTGGAGGGTGTGTAAGTATGAGTATACCCAGCATACAGGCACCCTTTCAAATAGGCTAAGTTGCGGCAATGCCATGCAACCTGCTTCTTTTTGACAACCTTCCCAAATGGATTGATCTCAACTTTGTGATCAAAGAATCTCCAAAAGCACTGCCAGTTGAACCAGGCTCAAATTGGATCCTTTTAACCCAACCGGACCCCCTCAGGCGAGGTTACGATCCCGCTGCGCGGCGAAACGCAGCCTGGCATTCTTACCGATCAGGGTTGACCCGATGCTCCCTGGGATTTCGTTCTCCCTTTGTGGGAACTACTAACTTCAACTGTTGGATACCCATGAGCTCACTTGCAGCAGTTGCAAGGAATCAACATGCTGCTGAGCGGAAGGCTTAAGCCAGATTCCTCACCTGTAGTTCTTTTGGGACACAATTTGGTTGTTTATTGCGCTTGTGAATCTAATGCCAGACTCTCAGACCTTTTTATGCCTTTTTTTGGGCCTTCTGGACCTATTCATGTTATGTGGGTGGACTAGGGTTGTAGGAACTGGTTGGGGTAGTCAGTGAGATGAATGTGACTGTGAGGCTGGAACCTCTCGTGGCAAATGCCAAGTGAGGTACTGTAAATTAGCTGGGTTGATCTCTACATCCACACATCCAAGCTGCGAGACCAATGTTTCTTCTCGACGCATTGACGTTCTATGACCAAACACGGCAGCCAACTGATTTGGAGCATTGACCTGCTTAGTTGCATTTGCATCACTCTCAGTCTGATGCAGAAGGTATTACGACGCACTTTTTCCATAAGGGTTACCCCTCGAACTTTTCCTTTTTCCCTGCTTCAGCTGGGGAAGATGCCAGTTTTGACAATGAGCTTGGATTGGTGGAAGGGATCATCCCCAGTTTGTAATCTTCTTCGGACAGCCTTCATAGACCGTGCAGGGCAGCTCACCTGGACAGTTGTCACTTGGAATTGCTTGAAAGGAATACCTTATCCAATCCAATTCAGGTGTACTTTCAGTGAACTTCTAGCTGGCAATTCGGTGAACTTGCTTGTGAAGCACAGCCCATGCACTTGGGTCTTGGCTCATCGAAGGACTTTTTCATTGGTTGGAAGCTTGTCTGAGGTTAAATAGTTAAGTAGCCCGCGCAAGACATCTTCTGCTTGCGAATTCAATTCAGTGGAAACAATCCAGTCAAATCTTATTTGGTGTGAAAGCCATGAGATCAGAAAGAGAAGGAGAGAGTCTCAAGCCAACTCATTTGCAACACTGAGAGAGTCTGGCGGCTGTCCGCCAAGTCTCTCAGCTTGAGATCAAACGAAAAGCGGGGGAGTCCAGCGACATCGAAGCTGGTGGGACCCGTTGTCCTGGTAGGGGTGTGTTCTCGACCCTATACAGAACCCCAGCCTTTGAAGGTGCTGCCCCTGGCACTTTGTTAATGGAAGACATCACTGTGAGGTAGTTGAAGGGTGGTTCATCTTGATCTTTTGGGCGGATAGGAGCAGCAGCAGCATATGAATTTTCCACACCTGTATCCTATTGTTGCCCTTTGATGAGCACTTCCAGCTACTTGCTGGGTTTAGTTTCACTTGCTTGCAGGGTGCATCCCTGCACAGTGCTGGTACCATCCTGAAAAAGTGGATTCATCCAACCCCTGTCATGTGCGTACCAGGGGTTTACAGTATCTATATACTCTGAGTCCAATCTCAAAGACTTGCACATGGATAAGGCACAAGACTGACTATTATCCAGGATTGATCAAGTTCTGGCTCCATTTATGCATGTACCATTTGCACAAAAAATAGTCGAACATTCATTCATGTGTGACAGGCTCAAACATGCTGTGGTGTTGACAATCAGGCAATGACTCTCAAGTACCCACCATGAATGAGATCCGTCCAATACAGCTTTCTGACAATCATGGGCGAGGAAACCTGAACGATGTTGATGAGAACACCCCACGTTTTATTTTTTAAAAGCCAGCCGATAGGCAAGGCTTGAGGCAGGGGAGCGAACGAAGTGAGTTAAATGTGGGGGGTGGTCGCGAGTGGGGGAGAGCCAAAAAAGACAGAGGTGGCCACTTGGTAGTGAAAATGAGTCTTTTTTGGGGGTGTTGTGATGCCGGTGATGTAATTGACGGCCAGTCTTTCAGGCGTGGGAGTTCATGTCAAGGTGGACGTGGTAGGAAAAAAGTGTTCGCAAGAAATGTTAGAGTTGCTTGGGGTTGCCTTTTTTAAATTGTGAAGACGCCTGTCAACTATACGCAAAAGGGCACCCCATATGGGGTGCGAGTTCATGCAACGCTGTGGTCCGTTGAGGGCAGGAAAGAGACCAAAAAGGAGCGGGCAAGCTTTGGATTGCTTGGGGGTGCCCTTTTTTTAACGGTGAAGAGGTCTAGTTGCCGGACTCAAAAGGGCACCCCATATGGGGTGGGAGTTCATGTGGACAAGACAGGCGTAGTGGAGGAGGACGTGATAGGAAAAGAGGGGTTGCAAGAAACGATGTGACCCATTCATGAGAACAGGGAGGGAAGAGAATGCAGCCGGCAAGCTTTGAGTTGCTTGCGGGTGCCCTTTTTTTATGGTGAAGAGGTCTAGTTGCCGGACTCAAAAGGGCACCCCATATGGGGTGGGAGTTCATGTGGACAAGACAGGCGTAGTGGAGGAGGACGTGATAGGAAAGAGGGATTGCAAGAAACGATGTGATCCATTCACTGAGAACAGGGAGAGAAGAGAATGCAGCGGGCAAGCTTTGAGTTGCTTGGGGGTGCCCTTTTTTTATGGTGAAGAGACCTGTTGACCACACGCAAAGGGGCATATGGAGTGGGAGTTCATGTACAAAATGGGCATAGCGGGGGAGGAGGTGATAGGAAAAGAGGTGGGGAGCTCACCAGGGCTCTCGCATTCACCCCCATAACCATATTGATATCTTTTACGGTGGCTGGCTTTCGTCCCCTCCCCTCTCAGGCAGTATCAGTGCACATGGAAGTGCCCGTATGAAATTACATAGCTACTTTAGCTGGTCCAGTTGCAGTGGATCAACATGTCGGTGTTTAGGCAACTCTTGCTGTGCACATAATGTGCTGCTATGTTTGCTTGGTGCGTGCTCTCTCCTTTGTTCTTGGCAGCAACCTTAGCGTGTGAACGGGAGAACTTGCTTTAACAATCCCGAGCGAAGAGGCATTGCTTTCGATTGAATCAGTGGACTAAGAATACGTACAGTCACTGTTCAAATTGAGCCTAGAAGGCTTAGAAGGGAGCACTGGAGACATGGACTGAAACACGCCCACAGACTGCTGTACATTGAAGTTTGTGCCTGACTTGCCAGTGTCCTTGGCAAGGTTCCAGCTGTCGCCTCCTGGGTGAGTGCCAGCACTGGAGAAATTGTTGAGGACTGCCCACGTCATGTCAAACGTGTCACTTTTGAATGTGAGGCGTTTTTGGTGCCTGTGAAAGCAGATATGACATGTTTGAGTTTGCGTTTATCAAGACTGAGTCACTACGCCTTGAACGTTTGCTCTCCTCACGATTGTTGCGGGCCACATATTCCCATTGTGGATCCCGTCGAGTGGACTCAATTATATACCAGGAATGTTGCGCAAGTCTAGACTCAGTACTTGACATATTTTTTGCCTGTCCAAAATGCTGGACGCCCGGTTGTTTTGGAGCATCAACTCCGGAAGCAGCTGATGTGGTACCAGGAGACTAGCTCGTTGGTTCGAGTGGGGATACTTGGAGGATGTTCAGAGCAGGGTTTCTCCGTCGGCTCTTAATGGGTTTAAAATTTGGGGGTGCTTCTTTTGGGAAAGGTCTCCAAATTGCATGAACTATATCGTACTCCAAATTCTGATGAATTTGGTATTTTGGCCGGCATGAATCCTCTGAGGTGGGCACCGAGCACGGGATCTTGGTGTCGCGAGAAGGCGGAGATGGGGGCTCAATAGTGCTTTCATGACCATTGTTGCATCCAACTGGTGTCCTAGATTCGGTGGCCTTTTAAACTTGAAGCAATACTTGACCAAGATGTGGTCAGATTGTTGAAGTACTGGCTGAACTATGTAGTTGCTACTAATTAAGGATTCCCTAGATGATGAACATGTACTGAACAAAAAGCCTTGAATTGGAGCCCGCAACCCCCCTCTTAGAGATTCTTTCTCCACAGATACCAGCCTTACCCAGAATCATGCCATGGGCAGGCCTTACAGCAGTTCGATGGGATGAGGCCGTGCCAAAGCAGTCTGGAGCCTGGTGGACTGATTTGCCAAGATGTGCGAAGCTGGGAAGTTCAAGTTGGTACTAAATTCATCGAAGAACCTTCTCAAGTTACATGATGCTCCTTATGCATATCATTTACTCGCCCAAAGATGGAGGATAGCTCCAGCGGTCGTCTTGGATTTGTCGATCTCTCACACGCAGATTTAGACGTACGCCGACTACCATAGCCGCCAGCAGCCGCGGCGGCTGCCCTACTGCTGGGTCTTTGCTTGCTGCTACCACGGCTGCTATGGTCCACTGCTGCGGCTCCTCCTGATGCTGCCTCTACTGCTACTCCACTTGGCAGCTCCTGTTCGTCCTGCTGTACCACTTTGCAGTCCGTTCCACCTGCAGCTGCTCTTGCCAAAGATGGTTGGATGGACAGCAGACCATGGTAGGTCATGCTAGGCCGAGTCGCTTCGGCCAAGGCCGGCTCTGCGTGCGGCCATACAAGCCGCTGAGGAGGTGGGGTTTGGAGGAATTCAGCACAGAATCGAGGTGACTTTTTGGGAGAACCAGAGGTTTCCTCGTTTTTGGGTTCCCTCACCTCCCAGTGCCTTGGGCAGTTTCTTGATGTGTCTTGCTTTCTGGGGCATGGCCTGATTTCTTCGCTATCTTTCCTGAGACTTCCAGCTTTTGCTTTCCCGGGCGTTCGCAAGTTTCTCTATTGGTTCTTTGATTGCATGGGCCTCGCGTGAAGGTACGTCCTGCTCTAGAGTTTCAGATTGTGACATGTAGATCTGCTGTTGCGGCCTTTGGCTTTCACGCCTCCCTGGCAGCTTTGTTATTATTGTGCGACTGGCAGGCTTGCTCCACCTTGGGTAGGGAAATACAGACTGCCCCGACTGACGCAAAAGCGCAGTGGCTGGTGAATCAGATTGAATCAGTGAATCTGCAGATGGTTCCTTTGCTTGCTGTTGTCTATGAATCTAGCTGGCAGCAATTCTCATTGAAGCGTTCATTTGGAAGCACCGGTGAAAGTGACCAAAAGGAAGTTGCTGGACTTCCATAGCGGCCTTGGCTGGTTCCCAAGGGCCTCAGTTCTTTTCGATTCTTCTCTTGGGGTCCAGGCGAGAAAGACCTTACGTGCACCATGTGCGGATGCCAAGAATGTGTGGCTGCTTCAGGAATGCACTGAGAAATCTGCGACTTTAGTGGAGGAGATCCTTACTTTTTTCGAGCAAACAGTGGCATCAGTCAAGAAAAGACAAAGCGAACATCTTCAGAGTGCTCTGAAGTTCTCCTCCAAAGCGGAAGCTACCAGTAACAAGGTGCATCGCTACTAGGAGCAATTGCATCGGTATTAGCTAATTTGCTACTCGTAGCAAGAAGCTACTCTCATTCATTGGCCATTTTGCAAAAGCAGTAGTAACAAGAACGCTACTAGGGGCTCCTGGCATCGCTACTAGGAGCAAGGACGCTACTAGGGGCTCCTGGCCTTATAGCCTTACTACTAGGAGCAAGAACGCTACTAGGTTGGAGGCGAAGCAGTGAGTGTTTCGCCAGTGCGAGGTCCATCCACGGAGCCCACAAGCCGCCAAAGCTCATGCAGCTCTTGGTGTCGCCAGGTGACATCCAACGGACCCAGCACCAAAGCAAGGCCGCTGGATGGTGATGGATGCGTTCGGTTGTGTGGAACTGAAATCGGAATTGTGAACTAGTGATGTACTCTTGAACTGACCCGACTTCATGAATGAAGCCATTGATATGCTAGTAAATGTTTTTTTTTGAAGCCAGCTCAAGAAGTATTTTGCTCAGATGCGGCAGATGCGTGTTCTTCCGTATCAGGGTGGAAGGAACCTGTGCATATGGCCTCCAATGCCTGTGCGAGGCAAAAGGGGGGAGGAGGGTTCGACTCTGAAGGCCACGGTTGAGCTACTAGGAGCAAGGACTAGGGGCTCGTGGCAAATCCAGTTGCACAGGCAGACTAAAAGCAACATGGACCTTTGCCTTCAATTGGCTTATCAATCGCTACTCGGTCAGCCAAAAGAAGGGTATACTGTAGGTCACAGTCATTGTCTGTTAACTTATCAGCCCACCGCCCGCAGACCGGCTACCTAGTGACAGCCTCTTCTTTTGCAGGTGTCACACCTTTTTGCAATTAAAGCAAACATAGTCAAACACTGTAAATTAGTTATATATATATGTATTTATATATATATATTTATACACATGCTCACTCACATAGATTTACATACGTAGTCTCATTTCCTGGTGATCAAGAAGTGACTTGGCACCTTTTGGCTCGGAACTCAGACTTTGTGTGAGCTTTGTACTTCTACTCGCGTGGATCATGCGGTAGTGCGGGTGGGTAAATGCAGCTTTCTCAACACTCCCATAAGGCCCAATCGCAGGAACCTTTTTTTGAAGCACCAAAGCCAAGCGTCCGGGGAAGAAAGACTGTCCAGCTTAGAGCAGAGGTGACCACCTCAAAGCCCGGCAAAGTCTCCGTCAGCTGGTCAAGGGTGGCCTTTGAGACTTGCTGTTCCTCATAGCAGTCATAGCCTGGCATGTTGGCGCGCAGGCAGGGCCGGATGTCTATGCTTCTTGCAGCATGAGATGTCAAGTTGGGCCTCAGTTCTAAAACTTGGGAAGTGGGTTTTTGTAGTAGCCTAGAACAAAACTTCCATTGACTGTGAGGGTGGGACCTTAGGACCACCAGTCATGGTATTTACATGACCCGTCATTGTTCAAGTGACTGTTGGTTTTCGGTGCTGCTATTTTGTTTGCGTTTCCGTTTCATACAACCTCTAGAACGAATTGACCCGTCTTCGAGCACAGCTTTCTCAGCCTCGGTTCGCCATCCTTTTAACCGGGAAGCTCCTACTCTTTTGATAGGCGAGTAGACTCCGGAGCCTCGACTCTTTAGGCGACAGAGGCGACAACGACGACGACCACACCAGTGAAGAGCGAGGCTGCTGGGGTCCTCAGGTGGCTGCAAAGATCTCCCAGGGGAGAATCAATACTTTATGTTATTCTTACTACTATTAGCAAGAAGCCACTCAGGACGCAGAAGATCCATCGGATTGATTTGGTTCCTAGATTTTTGGCGACATGCAAAGCATGCAGGCAGACATGCTTGAGCTACGGAGCCGGTGTCCAGCCTCCGATTGACTTCTGAGACACAGCAAGTCACCCCCAATGCATCAGATTGCCTGGAATGCCGACATAAGGTGACCAACAGCCGCTTGCTGTTTTACGATTCTTGGCAGCATGTGTTTCATCAGCACGCTATCCTGACAATATGTGAGAAAATGTGCATTCTCAAGAAAATAACACCCTTGAATTCCATCCTCACCCCACGCAAGCCAAAGTTGACCGCCGCAATCACGTTCTCTCAGCCCACATGACGGGAATTTTCAGGCTTCCAATACCCGAGGCAAAATCTCTAAATTGGACATGTCATGACATGAATGACATACATCGTATTCTTTCAGTCTTAGACTCTTCAAGTGATTTAACTAGCGATGGCCTCCAACTGCTGGGTCGACTTGCAAGTGCTTCACGACTGCTAGGACACTCGCTTTTCAGTGGACTTCATGACGCAGGCCACCCGATTCACCGGTGGCTGAGCACCTTTTGGTCCAGCTTTGCTGTGTACAGCAAGGGATGGAACGCGTCACCTGCTGCTAGTGCAACAACATTCTACAGCATGTATTCTGGATGTTGCACCTAAACATGGGAAAGAAACACCGGTACAAGTGAAAGGGCAGGACTTGAGTTGGTGTGGGGGCATCAGTTAAAGGACTCGCCGTTAGGTGGAGGTCTTCTTCGTGGCCTTGGAGCTGGTCCGTCGCTTGAACAGGCACCAAACGCCGAAAAAACATGTGACAGTTGGAGTCGAGCGAATCTTTCATGTCCAACTCCTTTCTTGAGAAACTTGTTTCAGGTGGCATTCATGATAGATTCGATTCAATCGTAGTTGGGCAAGATCCAGATTCAGATCCAGTACAAGGTGTCATGGGAACACTGAAAAAAACATTTCCAGGTCTAATAAAGCCTCATTCAGTGAAGGAGCAAAGTCATCCGGAGCAGGAAGGAGTCTATGGAACATCCAAGAAGGCCATTGATTGTTCGAACCATTACCTCAGGCGGACATTACTTGTTTTCTTATGTCTTCATCTTCCACACCTTGGGTGTTTTGCATTGTTTGCCATGTTGCAGATATTTCAGCTCACACATCAGTGTCACATATCGCCATGGCAAATCGAGGCATTAGCTCCAGGCTGTCCGAGGTGAAGAGTACCTGCAAGCCTGACATGGAGCTGTTGGATGACCTGCTGCCGGCCCAAGAGCTTCAGTCTCAACAGAAGTCTCAGTCTGAAGAGGCTCTCGACGATCCGCCCTTCCGGAATTCCTTCTTATCTCTCACGGCCTACTCGCGGAAGGACACCCTTTGCACAACGAGCTCATCAATTTGTTTGACCCATGTGGAAGAGGCTTCTTGAGCCCATATGGCATGCGAGCAAAGCTCACGTTCCCTCATGCAGTGAATATGATTGCCTGACAGTTTGCAAATTCTATATAATCAGAATGGGCTAACACCCAGGTGCCACCGACCCCTATTTGGGTCAGTAAAACCAAGCAGCCACACTGTTGTTTGAAACAACATGTCCATCTTCACAGCACCGCAACTCGGTCCTCATCCGCTTGAGCATCAAGGCGAGCCATGAAAACTGCAATCTGATACTCTCACATGGCCTCAACAGAAGTATGCATGAAAAGTGAAGTCTGTGTTTTCATGTTTTTGCTTACAAACCAGAACCACACATCATTTCTCAGACCAAAAATCTGCATCTTCGCTTCCCAAGAAGACACTTCCCCCAGCGTCACACCGGTGGATGACGAAGCCTGCTAGTTTGAGCAAGATCTAGACCCGAAAACATGCAGCCCCCGGTTCAACTGCACTCAAAGTGACCCCAAACCGAACAAAGAAGCATGAAGGCTGATGTATGGTAGAGACAAACAAGAATATTGAGCAATTGCAAAGCAGTACCTGCAAAAAGAAGGCTTCGGCCTCTTGGTCTGCTGGCCAAATGGCCCTAGAGGTTTCAACGTGGCTCGGAGCGACCGGCAACAATCTC